CTGCTGTTGGGACGTCTGGGACATCCCAGGATCGTCGGCCGCGGCCTCTGGCGCAATCCCAGGCGAGCCGTCCTCCTCCTGGGGTTCCTGTGATCGGTTTGTACTCCTTGTGTCCATTTTAAGACCACTCCTGACACCAGTTGTAGTGGGTTCCAGGACACGGAGACGGCAGAATAGAAGCAGCACTATTTATTTAAACCTTAACAAGGGTTACACTAGAAGGGGTAGCGGCCCCTCCACCCGTATAACTCAGGAACACACCCCAGGCTCTCTAGCCTAAGCTCTAGGCTCCCAGTTCCTCCGGGTAGGGCTCTAAGGGAGGCTATCAGATCCGGCCCTGGTTAGGCACAGATCTCGGCACCCCGCCGACCAGACCGGCCCTTAGAAGGACTCTGACTCTGGGGCTCTGGGGCCGCACCACTGGCTTGCTGTGCCGGCCCTGAAAAGGGCAGCGGTCACAGGAGTTCCAGGGTCTCACCTAGCTGGCCTTCTTTCTTCACTGGTTGCTTCAGCCTCGGGCCCCACACTCTGCCCCGAGCTCCCTGGCTCCCCGCACTTTATACCCACTGGAGCCTTAGCGGACGTTGTTGTAGCCACCAAGGTGTGGGTGAACCACACCTTCCCGTGTCATGTGTTTATTCCCCATAGCACCCCTACACATGTAACACCAAATCCTAGAGCCATAGCTGGCTGCATGAGTTACTCCACAACAACAGAAGCATCAGTCGGAGTATCAAATTTTTCAATGCACCTTTAAGATCAGCACGCTAAATCAAAATACAGATAATACTTTGCAACATCATCCGGAGCGAAACATTTTATTTTATTTTACGCCAATGAACAGCAGTGGTAGCTAGGGTTGAACAACTCCTCTAGAGCAGTTTTGAGAGAAGATCTCATTGGTAGCAATTCAAGTTGCAGTTTATTGGCAATAGCATTCCAGATCCTGGGGGCATCAATAGCAAAGGCCCAATAGGGAATGTGAAGCTGGTAAATGAGTGAAGACCTGAGGTCAAATTTGTCCTTTGAAACAGAGAGGAGATCCAGCAGGTAGTCTGCGGATTTTTTTGTAAGTACATTGTGAATAAATAAGATCTGGTGCACAAGCCGTTGAACATTAAGATATGTTAAGTTTGACCCAATGTAGAGATCACAGTGGTGAGTCCTATATGGGCAGTTCAATGTAAATCTTAAGGCCGAGTGATAGATGGACTCAGCTTCTTCAGTACAGTACTTGGGGCTGATTTATACACGATGTCACAGTAGTCAAGTAGAGGCAGTATGGTAGCTTTTATCAATTCCAAACGGAACATTGGGGGGAAGCAGTGCTTGTGTCGATACTGAAAAACAATTTTTTTATTTTTACCAATATAATCAATGTGATCTTCAAAATTCACTTTTGAATCCAGGATGACCCCAAGATACTTATAGATCTTGACTTGCTCTATTTGATAATTATTTAAGGAATGTAATTGGTGAAAAATAACTTCCTGCTTTAGTCCTGGTGAGAAGCATAGCACCTTGGTTTTGGAGGTATTGAGGACTAGTTTAAGAGCAACTAGCTGATGTTGTAGTTTGTTGAAATCACCCTGTAGCTTAGCAATCACGTCATCCGGAGAGCGGCCAGCAGTAATCAGTATCGTGTCATCTGCAAAGAGATTTACCCTGGAATGATCCAGGTCAGTGCCCAATTCATTGGCATGAAGAGAGAACAAAAGGGGGCCAAGGATGGAACCCTGTGGAACCTCTTTTGTTATCTTAACACTGTTTGACCTTCAACCATCTGTGAATACAGTTTGAGTGCGAGAAAAGAGGTAATTTTGTAACCATTTTACTGCGTTTTTGGAAAAAAACGAGGCAACTTAGTTTACTAAGCAGGGTGTTGTGGTCTACTGTATCAAAAGCTTTGGACAGGTCTAGAAAAAGACAGGCACAGTACTGCTTATTATCATTGCTACTGTAAATGTGATTCAGAGAGTCTAATGCAGCAGATGTGGTGCTGTATTTTTTTCGGAACCCAGATTGTTTTAGATGTAGATTGTTGGTGGACAGGAAACTGCTAATTTGGTAGGTCAATAATTTTTCAAAAATGTTCATCAACGGGGACAAAATTGAGATAGGTCGGTAGTTGTTTGGATTATCTTTAGGGCCCTCTTTGTGAAGTGGACGGACATAGGAATGTTTCCATTCTAGAGGAACTGATGCTTCTTTGATGGACAGGTTGAAAATATGGGCCATAAGTTTGTATATTAGGTGACCAACAGTTAGTAGTGCAAAGACGGGAATACTATCTGCTCCGGTAGAGGACCCTTTGAGGTAGGACAGTTGTTTCAGAACATTACTTTCGTGGATTGGCTGGAAACTAAATTCGTTTAATGTTTGGACAGGGGTGTAGGAATTTGCATGAGCAGGGGTGACTCCCAATACATTATCAAAAAGATTACCAGCTTCAGAAAATGAAGGTTAAAATTGTCAACTATTTTTTTGGGATCTGAAAAATATTCCCCCATTTCGGTTAAGCTCAATGGGCAGATTGTCTGTTTTGGATGCCTTTTCGATACATTTGTTTTCCAGAAAATCCTGGCATTTCCATGTGATTCCAGGAGAGTGGAGGAAAAGTAGGCATTTTTTGCATGCCGTATTTTTTTGACGCATCTATTCCTTAAAATCCTGTATTCTAGCCAGTCATTGACCAAATTACTTTTCTGAGTCCAAGCCTTGTCCATAGTTTGCATGAGCTTTGTAATCAAAGGATCAAACCATGGTGGGCGGTTGCCTTTAGTTTTAAATCTAACGGAGCATGTTTGTTAAGAATTTGGAGAAACGTGTACCTGAAGGTCTCCCAAGCCATAGTCAGGTTGGGGATATCACAGACCTTGTCAATATCCGAGTGAAGCACATCATTAGTAAATGCCTGAGTGCTGAAGTGTCTCATAGAGTGCTTCTCAACCAATTTAGGGGGGGGCTTTGGGTCTGGCTGATGATCTCACCCCAAAAATGAAGGAGTGATCACTAAGGTTATTACCCAGAACACCAGTCAGTGTGAAATTGTGAGGGGCATTTGTCAATAGGACATCAAGCAGAGATCACTGTCCCAGATTATTTAGGTTGGGTCTTGTGGGGATATTTATTAATTGAAACAGATTAAATTCATCTGCAAAATTTGTGGCCACGGCCGGCGGGTTTAGCCAATTCCAATTTAGATCACCCACTAAAACTATTTCACCATTAGGGAGGCCCCCAAAAAGCTAAGTGCAGATGCAGCTTCAACATCCTTCCCACTAGGCGGTCGACAGCAGCACACTACCAATATCTGTTGATTATTTGGGAGAGTTATTCTGAGAGCCAGACCTTCAAAGCAACATTTTTTTAAACAAGGAGTGACCTAGTGAACATGCAATAGTATTACGAACATAGATGGCAATTCCACCTCCTTTAGATCATCGGTCAAGCCGAAAAACGTTGTAGTCGTCAATCGCAATCTGCAAGTCATTGACGGCAGGAGTGAGAAATTTTCTGTTAGGCAAAAAATGTCTGGGTCAAGATTTGCCACTTCTAGTATTAGTTGACTTAATTTAATCACAAGCCCTCTGATGTTGACATGAAGAACACCAACACCTTTCCTGCCAGCGCCTGTGAGAATGTGAAGGTACAATACTCTATTTCTTACACTTCCTGTCAACCACAAGTGTAAGAATTACTGGACTATTCTAGATTTAAAGCTTTCGTGACTGCTAGGATCCATACTCTTTGGTTCTATTGGGTAAAGTCACGTAGGTGAAAATAAAATAACAAAAAATCACGACGTTTCGGCCACAACACAAGCGGCCTTCATCAGGTGAAGGGACGAGACTGTCTGGAGGACAGCGCTGGAGTGGAAGAAGCCACGCTTAGATCTTCTTCTCACACAGCTTAAAGGTCGTGATCTAAGCGTGGCTTCTTCCACTCCAGCGCTGTCCTCCAGACAGTCTCGTCCCTTCACCTGATGAAGGCCGCTTGTGTTGTGGCCGAAACGTCGTGATTTTTTGTTATTTTATTTTCACCAACGTGACTTTACCCAATAGAACCAAAGAGTAATTACTGGACTGTTATTTGTGCCATGCAGTATATTGAGAATGTCAGTCACGTAACTATTGTTCGTGAGGTAATTATAACGCTTTAATGAGCGGCGAGTTATTCGACGCAAACGTCATTGCAGCATTTTATTAGCATAAAGCGTACAGGAATAAATATTGTTATATATTTTTTTGTATTAATCACCGCTGTATAAGGCGCAGTATGTCTTACACTTGGCTGAAGGAGCGTCACGCGTACCACGTGACCGCGCACGGCCCATCCACATCACCACCACCATCAACCACCACGATGGGGAGGGAGATAGCCCGCCGTCGGTGCCCGCTGCACACTTCGTCATTTGTTTCCACTTTCCTCTTCTCTCCTGGGCCCAAATATGCTCGAGAGGCGGCCACATCTTTCCGGCACCGATCTCTTACGGCGTCGTCAAGCCATTCTCCTGTCCTCTCTTTTCGGTTCCTTCCATTTCTCTCACCCCCCTGTTCTTGTTGTCGTCCACCTTACCTACACGTGTACCGTACTCGTGTAACGTAGTGCCCACAGAGTGCCAGTTTCCTCCTCATCACTGCCAACACCACAACATCAACGGCTGAATACATCGCTTCGCACGCGTCACTTATCGCGGCCATCTTACTCAGGGACTCCCTGGCGCCCATTCGCCAACACGCGTGCTGACGTCACTCCTCTGCCCCGCCCCCGCCTTAGCCTCCACGTTGCCCTGGGGAGAGTCGCAAGGCGAGGGGGGGGGGCTAGCGAAGGGGAGGGGTTTTAAATCCCCCCTTTTTAACCAAGATGGTGGACCCCTTCCCCTCCCTCCCCGCGTCTTCTCGCCTTTTCCCGCGTATTTTCTCACGTCACGTGATGGCTCGCGGACCAATGGCCGTATGAGATAGGGGGAGGGAGGAGGAGTCGGCAGAGTGAGACCCCGCCCCCTTTCCCCCCCCCCCCCCACCCAAGGGCCAAGTGGCGATCGACGGCGGAATTGACTGCGGAGGGAAACGCGCGCGCGCCAAGAAAATCAACGGCCAGCACCGAACCCTCGACGACGACGACGATGTCGAGCGGAGCGGCGCACGAGAACGGCTCTTATGGCGACATGGAGCAGCGGGAGTCGCGTAAGAGGACGCTGGACGCGCCCGGCGATGGCGACAGCAACAAGCGCACGCACAAAGGTGGAGGCCTCTGCCCTCGCGGCGGCGCAGGCGCCATCATCACCACCAACCAAAAAAAAAACCATCGGCCGTGCCTCACCCGTCGGCCGCACTCGCGTGCGCGCCCGCCTTGCTTTACTTAACGTCTCGTGGCCGGGGGGTTCGTTTGTTTGACCGCGAGTTAATTTGGTTCCCCCACCGCGATTGTTTCCTATCCCCGTGTCGCCTTTGCGATGGATGTGGAGTTTGCGGCCTAGTGCTCGTCCGCGGGGCTCCCCCGTTGCTTGCCTGGGTTTCCCGCCGCGGGACGAGGCGAGCGAGGCCCGCGCCGCTGCTCAGGCAAAGGTCGGGGGGGAGGGTAAAGGCGTTTTGCTAGGCCCAGCCGCGTGGAAGCAGAGGCCGGCAGCGATAACCACACAATTGGCTTGTATTATTGTACGTATGTCATTTGTATCGATTTATATGCAGATTTACACTTTGGTGGGTTTTTCATGCAAACAGGTCCGCCGCGGTCGTAATCCCCTTGTATTTAAATGGCGAACGCGTGAGGGGTTGCTGGCGGCGTGGGGAAAGGGTTTGCGGCTAGTTTATTCGCTGGTACCGCTTTACATAACATCCGAGGCATTGTTGCTCTTGCATATAATTACATTGCAACACCTGAGGGGGGCGGGGGGGGGGCAAAAATCCGTAACGGCCGTTGTGCCGTTTTGTGCAACGGGCGCGACGAAACGGCCGCGTCGGCCGAGCTCGCGAAGCCAAACCCAACTTCAGTGCTCCTCGGCAGTGCTCCGCTGGTTTACATCACGAACGTTTTACGCCTTGAGCAATGATTTAAATAACAAACTACGTGTAAGCGTTATACTTAAGGGGGGGGGGTTAATTCAAACGCATAAACCATCCCAGGAGCCCAGCGGTTTGATGGCCGGTAGCATGAAACGCCCGAAGCTCTTTTGCTTAAGTATTTTCTATACATTTCATTGTTAATACACGTAGGTACATTTGTGACTCCGTAAACAATGCTGTGAATCCCCATTTAACATTGTTTCATCAAACCCATTGAGGGATTTTTTTTTTTATTTTGACGAATGCAATATAAATAATAATGTACAGCTGTTTTGTAAATCCACTGCTGATTGAAGGCTTCACTGCGCCATATCGTTCGCGGTGGTTTGGCCGTACAGAACTCGGCGAATGTGGTGTGGGGGTACCCGGACGTGTGCTGGTATCACTCGCCACGGATGGTAGTCGCGGCGGGGAGTTAGATTGTTAGAATTCAGAGCGCAGTGCTCTAACCACTGCACCACCGCTCCCCTACCTATTGATTTATAAGATTCATTTCACCGGCTGAAATACATCGATACTTTAAAGTGGTTTTTTTCACGTTTTAGAAGCTTAATGTTGAAATATCAAATCAACCTCAAATTAATTTCAGCATGTTTAATTGAATTCGAAGGTTTTTTTAATCAAATCAGAAAATTCCAACATAGGGCGGGAACTTAATGTAATATACCAACATGTGAGGTAAAAAAAAATAACGATCATCATTATTTCCACTCGCTTTGTGACCTTTAACTTAAAAATATCCGCCCCCTTGTCAATCAACTGCTGGACAAAGGCCTCGCAACCGTGGCGGTCGTAGGATTAGTTTGACCGTAGGTGACCACGCTGGTCCGTGTGGGTTGTAGGAGGGGCCCAGAAACAGTTCCGATATCACTGGCGCCACTTATTGAACGTGGTTGGGAATCAAACTCAGGTTTCTTCAGGGTGGCGGGAGGTGCGGATCATGAACCACTTTATTACCACTGCTACCCCACCCAACCCCTGTTTTTATGTTTTACCGCAAAGATCTCACGTTGTGTTGCACAGCCATTCAAGCACGTGGAGTTAATGATTTTAAACTCGCACAGCTGTCATCGGCCATGATGATCAAGCTACTGCTTTTGAAGGCTTACTCAATGCTTTCACACCCACGGCTAGTCTTGTGGTTGATGTAACAATGCACCGGTGAGCCTACAAATGAGCACATCGCATTTCAACGCTCCATCTCCAAGCTGAATAGCATTTTTTTACATTCTCACTTGGCAACAGGTGAGAAAGCCGGTTTTTCTTGAAACCGGAATATGATTGCATGTTCTCAGTGGTGCTGGCTCAATATTCGTTAGCCTTCTTGGGCACATGGTCACTCAGACAAAAATTGTGACAGCTGGAATAGGCTGAGATAAAGTGAATACATAATTAATCATTGATTATTTGACGAGACAAACTCGATACATTTGAGAATTAAGTTTAATATTATATTTATTTTTATTCACTTTATTTTTATTATTCTATTCTATCTACGTGATTTTACTGAAAGACCCAACGAAAATGAATTCCTGCAGTCACGAAAGCTTTAAGTCAAGATTTAAGGTGAATAATTGATATACTCTTTGGATATGTGCACATCTATAAATGTGACTGCACAAAAATACATACAGAAACGGTGAGCATATTTATTTTGAAGAAGCAGCCATAGGCTGAAGTCAAAGTGAATGTCTTTAGTCTGGACTTAAACATTACTGTAGGATACATCTTAAGTTAGACTTTTCCCTGTACCGCAAAGTGTAAAATCCACTGAAGTTGGTTTGTGGAAACTCACATTCAATTATAAATGTGGTCTCAATGTGGACTATAAATCCACTTTGCCGTGTAACAGCTATTGCATGGATAGCTAGGCCAGTGGATTCTGAGGAAAGGAGTGTGACGTTGGCACTAAAAGAAGTAATGACGGAAATACTTTAAAGTTTCTGGCAATCGGCATTTATGTAGCCAGGGATGAACAAAGTGAGGGGCAGTTTGCTCCGCACCTCAGATCTGACTGGTACCTTGGCAATACATCTTAACAACTCTTTGGCATCTCCAAAAATGAAGCTGTGATTACAATTTAATCTTATCAAAATACTTCCAATTGTTTGTGAGAATCATAACAAAGTATGATCACGTAGCAAACAAAACTGTAGAAATTAAACAAAAAACAAAGAATGCAAACGGAGTGTAACTTGTTCATGAGCCAAGACCAGATATTTCACTTGTCGATCACTCCTGAGGTGGCATGATGATAGTATAGCAAATATCCTGCTTTACGTTTCCCCCTTCTATGTCGTGTTGCAAATCCGTTGTCACTTCATTAACACCGCTACCCGATTAGCGTTGCCTCAACCCACATGTCGCTAACAGCATCGGCCGTCCCCTCTCGTATTCATCACCTCGGCCTTCGCCTCCACCTACCCTGTACACGAACTATTGCGCGTCACGCATAAAGAAATATACTATGATGTAGACTACAATATATTATTTATATATAGTCTTTTGGTGGATGGGAAATTTGCTTTAATGTCGTTTGTATGAATATACTTATGTTGAACTTCTTCCACACCGTACGTAGCCAACCGTGCGAATTGGAGGTTCCAAAGATATTCGTCACACCTTTCAGGAAACGTATCCCCGACGCAAACTGGGCTATTGCTCTAGTTTTAAGTTTTTAATATGGCCAGTACCATTCAATTATGTGATAACCATTTGAAATTAGTGGGTTATCAAATAATTAACTCTTATTAGTTGAACAAAATCGCTACGGCTAAAGTTTCACCACCTTGGGTTGTATTGATTTCTGTTCTGGCCCCATGATCTATTCAATGTTAAAATGTATGGTATTGGCGTTGAAGGAGATGTTAAATCATCACAAGCCTCATGATCGAGTTTTCCCACAGTTCCCTCGTGGGGCTAATACATTGAGCTATTTAAGCACGTGAAAGCGACACCACAGTAAGGAAAGAAAACTATTTTCACCTCTGCTGCCTCAGTCGTTTAAAACTCCCTTTCTTCTTGCCATCCATGCTGTCGACTCCCCTGTTCAAGTCCATGCTGAAGACCAAGGTACATGGCCGGGGCACCACGGTGGTGAGATGTTAACCACCTCGCCTGGTATACAGGAGGTCGTGGGTTCGATCCCGACCCCGATGCCTGTATATTTGGAGTTTGCGTGTTCTCCCCGTGGTCGTGTAGATTTTTCTCCGGATTCTCCGGTTTTCCCTTCACATTTAGAAACATGCATTCCGAGTATTTGGCTACTTAAAATTTCCACGAGATAAGCCACATGATGATGATAAGCCCACTTCATTGGGATATCATTTGTGGCCAGGTTGCTTCTGACAAAGAGCTATCTTGCTCAGTGGGCCTTACCTGGTAAAATAAAATAAAAATGTAAATATCTACAACATGAGAGCTTTTCTTTGAGTTGTAAATTTTAGGTGGGTTTTTTTTGCCCATGACGTCTTGCAGTTTGCTGTTCTTACATCGCAGCTTGTATTTTTATTTTGTTTCAAAGCTATTCACATTCCCCCCCCCCCAACCTTGGAGACTCTGTAGGATTGTAACAGAGCAATACTCGGTTATGAATACGTTTATAATTTTATTATCAACGTAACGATTTACACCCCCCCCCCTTTGTAATGGTTCGATCAAATATCGTGATTAGGGGGTTATACCACACACATTTTACCATTCGTATGTAATTGGTGCTCGTCACCCCTGCAGCCACCCTTTTGGCATTACAATTCCCCACAATGTAAAAAAATAGTATGGAGTCAATTGTTGACCTTGAATCCATCCCAATGACAATCACGTTGTTGAATGATTCCACCCAAGGGTAGCAATACATTACTACTTATGCAACTGGTCAGCTGTATGTTTTAAAATCATCGACCTTCAAATATCCACTGCTGGATGAAGACCACCACCCCTGGCCATCACCATCTCTCATGGTCCTGTGATGAATTGATCCACAGAGTACCTGCATCCGAGCTGATTTCATCATTCCATCTCCGTGGTGGGCATTTTCCAGGCTGCATTCACTCTTTTTTTCCTGTCACTCAATTGCTATTCTCTCCCAAAGATGCATTCTCAAATCCGTGTATTCCCTCTTCTGTTTCAATGTAATTCCTAGCATGCACCACACATGCACGCTTTTCAGTTTTCATTCCATGATGGTCAGAATTGTCCACGTTATTTCCTATGCCATGGCTAGTAATGTCCATTGGTTGCAAAACAAATTCTTTTGAGATGGATCTGAAGCATGGAAATTAATGAAGACATTTTCATTGAAACTGAACTTTATAGTATCCATGGAAAGTTGCATACTTGGAATTACTAGCGATAATTATTGTAATGTCCAATGGGACGTTTGCTAAAAATAAAGACTGCAAATTTGGGTTGAGATAAAAATGAGAAAATGAAATATGTAGAAGCTAAACAATTTGGAGTTATGTTGGAGAAACAACTGGTAAACAGATCAGTTTGTATACGTAGGGCAGTTACTGATATCAGGCCGGCGTCGGGAGTGATGAAGTGAAATCTGAATTCGAACATGCAAAGCAACTTGCCAATGTTATAATATGGTGACATTATGTTCACGCGTTGCACTGCAACGGCGTTGGTCGTTGTCATCGTTTTGCCCGGCAGAGGAAAAGAGCTTCTTCCTGAAGCTGCTGGTGCCGAACTGCGCCGTCGGGGCCATCATGGGCAAGGGTGGCGAGACCATCGTCCAGCTGCAGAACGACACGGGCACCGTGATCAAGATCTCCAAGGCTCGCGAGTTCTTTCCAGGTTCGCCTCCAACCCCTGGCCTTCATGGATTGACTTTTTTAGATACCAGTTTACACAATGGAAGATATCTAGTATACAGTCGGTCCCCGCTTTTGACATTGCGTTGCTGGAAACCCCGTTGTAAATCGGACCCTGTTTTCCCATAGACAGTAGAAACATTACTTGCCAATGTGTTTTTCCGTATTATCGGCCTAATTTAATGGGGATTAATTGGTGAAAGTTAACAAGAACACTTGAGAAGAACAAAAGCTCCACGCCAGAAAACAATCTGACTCTATTCTAATGTGTCGTGTCTCGAAGGTGCATCGTAAAGCAAGCAAAGCAAGCGTCGTTATTCGACCCATGGTGGCATATTTAAATGTCATATAAATGTGGATGGCATGTATATAATGTTTGGATAAAGGTATTGGAAAGGGAAGCGATTGAATGGAGAGTTAGAGAAGGAATGGAAAAGGAGCTAAGATGTCAGGAAAGATGTATGTACTTTGAACTACATTTGCACCGTATGTGGCCAACTGACTAATCGGAGGTGCGGGGAAAGAACAACAAACTAAACACAAAAAGTAGCTCGAAAAAATTAGTTTTTAATCTCGGTGATTTACAAGTGCATAGTTCCAGTGGCTTCCTAATATCAGAAGGAAGAGCGTTCCCCATGTCTGCAGAAGTGCATCTGAAAGAGCGCGATGTGGTGACGTCTTTGTCCGATGGTTAGCTAAAAGCTGTTGCGAGGATGACTGGAGTTTGCGTGATGGTTTATGCTCCTTGATCTCAGCAAGGTATTGTGGTTCATTTGTGGCAACTTTGTGCTTGCTATAAATGAACAACAATACCTTGCCCTTGATGTTGCATGGAGCAGTGTCTGTTTAACGGGACTCAGTGGGGGTGACCACACAAGCCACGTAATTTACTTGAAACTGTTTTGGATATATTTGTAGAATTTGGGAAAACACCACTTACTGATGCATAAGTAATGACCTCGCATCCATCTCCTTTCTATCCATTGTTTTGTTGTATATATAAAATGTCTCGCTTTTTTGTGCTGCGAGATGCATCGCCATTGCGACGTTATATTTCTTACTAATTTTACTGCCCTTAATCCACCGGTGAATGAAGGTTTGCCCACGTGTCAGACGTGAGGTTTGTTTGACCATAAACCATGCTGGTCAGTGCTTGTTGGTGAAGGGGTTTCGCAGATTTGGTTCCAGGTATCGCTCGCCATTGATGTCGGGCACAGCCAGGAATTGAACTTTGGTTGCCAGTGTAAGAGCAATGCAACAGCTCAACGAGTTTCTGTTGAGATGCAGAATTACCCAATTAGACATAGCAATCATCGTCCCCTACTGACAGTCTAGTCCCCAAATGCAAGCCAGCTTATGGCTAAATTTGTACCCACAGGGACAGCTGCCACTGGGAGTGCTTTTTCAAATGTGTTGAAAAGACCTATGATGCAAGTCCGCTTATTGCGTGAAAAGCAATATTAGGATACCCCGGTGTAAAGGGCAGTCCGAAAACGACTCCCCCCCCCCCCCCTCCCTTTGCTGCCTGCAGGCACCATGGAGAGGGTGGCGCTCGTACAGGGCACGGAGGAGGCCATCGTCCAAGCCCACGACTTCATCGCAGACAAGATCTACGGCTGCCTTGATAAGACTGCGCCAGCCACTTCCACCGAGACGGATCGTGGAAATATGGTATGTCAGTGATGCCAGTGCCCCCCCACGGTTTAGGGGTCGGGTTAGACAAGTTGTTTTTGTCTCACGCCGTCTTTGACGCCTCTTATCCCAATTCATTAAATTCGCCTAAAGATATGAGAACATGAAATGTGCATGCAAGCTAAATATTGTTTTAAAATATATAATTGGAATTTTTAAAACATTATAATTGGCATACATGCCAAAAGCTCACGAATGGAATTGACCAAACATCCCAATGCAGGACTTTTATTTGTGATTGTTGTTTGAGACTGAGGCTTCCTTGGAATAAGTAGATGCATTGTGTAATTTAGATTCTTGTATTTGATTAAATCGATAAACTTTTGTTATTCCCCCCCCCCCATCCATCATTTTAATGGCCGTGGTGTTTGTGTTTTTGCACCAAGATATTCTGCACCTTAGTTTTTGAGGACCCCCCCCCATACGTTATACACAGAATCCATTTGGAACTCTTACAAAGCAGTGCAAGTCCACCCCCCGGCCTCCACGTTATAGAACAGCCCACGGGAGAGACTTAATCTCAGTGGGCACTCACCATCTTTTCCATATGGCCGCAGTGGTTGAAAACACGGCGGTATGGCTTTATACACGCAGTATGGTAATTTTATGCGACATTCCAGGCAACTGTCTTTAGCCATGGATAAATCAAACTTTGCGTGTATTATTACTCATCGCATAGTCCGTGTGTGTGTATGTACATAACTGCCCGCCCTTCTGCTGCGGGCAGGGCACCCTTAATCATCCCCTTGGCCACCTAATGTAATTCGTTTGTAAAATCTGTCTATTGCTGTATTTGACTCGTATTTCTATATTTGGCTGTCCATGGTTTTACGTGTGATGCAATTACGCAACAGTAATAAACAGACGTCGATCCGTTCCACCACAACAACAAAAATGTACGACCCTCATCCTGTGGACCTTCTGAGTCTATGTATTTCAACAGCCAACACGCAATTGGTTTCGATGTGTTGAAATGACAGGATTCATTGAAATTTTGCTATTCAAGAATAAATTCCCTTTTTAATGTCCTTCATGTGAGGGGTTCTAACGGCTACAGAGTTGGCATTAACCCAGTTGCATGCAATGTGTATGAATCGGACGGGGCAAGGTGTCACTGACATGGGGGGCACGGCTTGTTTTTTAAATGGATGAGGTAGAAGACTCCAAAGGTTGTCTTGCGAGAGATCCAAATTGATACTTGGTCTCATGACACCATCGCCATAAGCACAATTGGATGAAATTGCTCGGGGGTGGGGAAAATGTATTAATTAAACTAGATCATCGATATTAACCGACGCATCAAACCCCCACGCTCTCCACGGCGGTGCAGCACGTGAAGATCGTGGTGCCCAACAGCACGGCAGGGCTCATCATCGGCAAGGGCGGCGACACGGTGCGCTACATCATCCACGAGTCGGGCGCCTGGCTTGAGGTGTCGCAGAAGATGACGGGCGGCTGGACGGGCGCAGGGCGCGAGCGCGTCGTGAGCGTGGCGGGCACGCGCGAACAGAACCGCATCGCCGTGCGCCTCATTGTGCAGAAGATCGTCGAGCACCCGGAGAGCAGCAGCTGCCCTCGCCTCAGCTACCCGGCGCAGCCCGAAGGCTACGGCCTGCACTCGGCCGGGGGTCCCAGCGCCGGGGTGCCTGCCTCGGCCCCGTCGGCCTACGCGCAGCAGCAGCAGGCCGCACCCCCGCACCACCACCAGCAGCAGCAGCACCAGCAGCAGTGGTACGGGCGCGGCGCGGGAGACTACGCCGCCGCCATGCAGCAGTACCAGTGGCCGCAGGCGATGGCGGCGAGTGGCTACGAGTCGCGCGTCACGGCGGTCCCGCAGCCCGTTCTGCAGGAGGGCTTCCAGGGCCAAGAACTGCAGGCGGTAACGGAGGCCCTGGACCGCCTGTCCCGCTGCGGCTACAGCATGAAGACCCTGGGCGTGGCGGCCGACGGCACCGAGGAGGAGAAGCAGGGGGAGGCGGCGCCCACCGACGGCTACGGTGTGGAGGAGGTGGGCACCTTGGAGCTGGAGGTGCACGAGTCTCTGATCGGCGCCGTCCTGGGTAAGGGTGGCCAGACGCTCATGGACTACCAGGAGGCAACGGGCACCCGCATCCAAATCTCGCGCGTGGGCGAGTTCGTGCCGGGAACCAACAACCGACGGGTCACCATCCTGGGCACGGCTGCGGCGCGGAAAGCCGCCGAGTTCCTGATCCGCAAGCGCGTCGGCGCCGAGCAGGTCAACCGCGCCACCAGCAAGCGGCGCTAGTGCGGCAGACGGGCTGGCGGTTGGACGGGCGGGTGGGCGAGCTCATGTCAGCGTCACCTCCGCCCCCCCCCCCCGCCGTCCACACCATCGCCCCCACCGGGCTAACCCAACCCAGCCGTCACACCTCCAACATCCTCATCCCATCCCCCACTCCCCTCTTCCCCCTCCATCCTAGCATCCCACCCCTCCATACGCCTCCGACTCGGATGTGGCGAGAGAGAGAGAGAAAGGCCGTCCCTGCGTCCGTGAGTAGACGTGGGCTGAGGCAGAGGCTTTACCGTGTCTCAAACGGGCGTGTGAGAATAGATAAATTGATAGGCACGCAAGGGCTTTTGTTGGGGACAAGCTCTCGTTTTAAGCCTCTGTTTTAATGTTAACCCGATTATTATTTCAGCGTCCCGCCAAACTTGGACTGCCCACGCCACCCAGCCGAAAGCAAGCACGCTCGGTCGCCGTGAGTACGTTGGTGTATATTTTATACGGAGGGGGTTGTTGGAAACTGAAAGATTTTCGAGCATTTTGAAACTTTTTTCTCTCCCCCCCCCCCCCCTTCCTGTTAGGAGTAATTTTTTTAAAGTGTTTCTTTGCATTTTTTTTCGAACCTAGCTGTTGACCGTTGTGATTACACGTTGCTTAAATTCTGGGGTTAGGGGTTGGGGGGGCGTGTTTACGGAAGCCTTTTGGTTAAGGAATAAAGAAAAAAAAGCTAATCTTGAATTAACTTGAAGAGAGGAAAGGTCACCCCCAGTTAAGACAGCACCCCTTTTACCGCGTACCGTAGTTCACCGGGCTGGTAGAGCCCCTGTGTTTGTTTGTTTTTGACAGGAAGAGGAATGTGAAGGGGTATACGCTGTACCGTGGAGAAGAAAGGTTCGGTAGCAGGAAAGGACACCGTTGATTTAGTCTTGGGCCCAAGAAAGCCCTGTGTGATTTCACTGTACCTTTCATAACTCTTGATAAGACTAAAAAAAACACGGAAATCAGCAGAAGCTAAAACCGCAAACATCTACTCATTCTATAGCTTTCGCCACCCGTTTGAAGATGAATTGTGAATACGCGTGCCCCATTAGCGAGTCTAGTGTTCGTATGTAGCTGCGGTTTAATGTGAAAACCCCCCCCTTCGTTTGTTTGCATCATATTTCATTACCAAATTACATTGCATGTAATCACTTCTTTAAATAAAACCGGTTTAACCGAACGTGGGATACCCATCTTTTGCGTGCTCTCTGATCGCCTTCTGGAATCTCGCTCTTCCTCCTACGAGATTGCAAGCCAAAAAAAACAAACGGCAGTTATCTTGCAGATGTTCGAATTGGTCGTGTGTTCCGGGCCGTCCAGCGTCGATGAGGCTGAAATTTTGTATACAGATGAAATATTTAAAAATCCCCCAGAGATGTCGCCACCACAATGATGTGTATACATCAAATCGCCCTGAATACGACAGATTCCGGAAGCTTTTAAGGGGGTTTAGGCCGGGTCAGTTTGTGAATGGGATACCACCACCCAGGCTTTTGCTGGGTGTTGTAGGTGCAGTGGGAGTTGGTGTAGCCACTAGATGGCAATACTGAGTCTCCCTATTGTGATATTTTTCCGGATACTTGCATTTTCCTCCTATATGAAGCCACTCGCTGATTTAATTAAACACCGCAACGTAGCAGGAAGGACCCTCCTGAAACAACGAAGTCCTTTTGACCTCGTAAAGCTTTGATGGGTAAAAAATAAATCGGTGCTAATGGGTGTAACTTCACCTCGCATCTGAGACCTTGTTATTAACCAAAGCTGGTATGGGACAGCCCGGGACACAGCCTAGGCATACATCTATGAGATTAGAGCTGTTTGCTTTTTGTCTTGCATCTTTAATGTTTCTTCTTTCTTCCAATTTTATTCCAGATGTGTGGTTAACGTCATCTTGGAGTCATGAGAGACACGTTTCCATGCAGAGTTGTCACAGCGAGCCGTTTGACGTCACCCTGCCACCCACTACTTCAGTAGCATCTCACCCACGCTAGATGCTCACCGTCCATATGCCCGGCCAAGAGTTTCCATCGTATTGCTGTTACAATGATCATTTGTAAAATTTTAAATGTTGTTGAATTATTGTTAAGTCCAATTCAATTTGACGGTATTGTTTTGTGCGGTCATTGATAAACGGGCTGAGACCATCAACTCGCTGCACCTGGGAACCCGGTTAAATCACGGGTGGCTGCGTGGATTCAAATCCTTGTAAATCACAGCGGTACCAGATCAGCCCTGTTGCCCCCGACACTGCCTGGCCACTTGTTTGACGTCTGAGAAAAAAACTCGCAACCCCAGGGCTTGAACTCGGGAACTCGCGTCAGTGCCGACTCGGTATCTTGGACACAGCCATTATGGGGACCCCCCTACCACCCCCTAAACAAGTGAGAGAGTCCCAGCCCAAGAGGGTGATGAACCCATGTTCTCATCAGTGGTGGTTCTTTGCCTCTGACGTGGCCATTGTGGACCCCCTGAGAGAGACCTAGGCAATGGGGCTTTGAACCGCGAGGAACTCATCAGTGCTGGCTCATGGCAGTCGGGGGTTCTCCAGAGTGATCTTGGTGGTGGCACGATTGCTGGAGGAAGGAATTCAAGCGATCACCCGTCGACATCACCACCTCCGCTCATCCTCTAGGCTCGCACAGTGTCTGCGTCCGTTAAAGAGTTAGGCCGGCCTGCACTGTGGTCAGAGGCCCTCGTCTCACCATCAGAAGCTCATCATCAACATCACACCGTGGTTGATAAGTAAGGTACTGAGTATGTGGTTATATAAACTATTAAAGACTGACCCTTAATATTGGTACATTTTATTGCCACTAAGGGCTTGGGGCCATTGGCAGCGATGAACTCTATTGCTTGTTTAAGCAGGGAGACATCTTTGGGGTAACTGCGGGAGTTTGATTAGGTCTTGGGTTATCGTTAGTGTATCGTATGGGTTAGATTTTGCGATATTTAGGGTTTAGGAATATTCTCTCTCCCACCTGAAGACGATTGCTTGTGTGGCGATCAAAACGTCGTGATCTATTATTTTTTTGACCTACGTGACTACCGCTAGAACCAAAGAGTGGATTCCTGCAGTCACGAAGGCTTCAAATCTAGATTTAAGAAGGTTAGGGTTAATATTAATTGTTTTTTTATCAATTGCCTGTGACCAAATCACATGGCATGCACCCAGTCTCATCAGATCTTGGAGGCTGTGGGGTTGAGCCTGAATAGTTCTTGTAATGGGCGACCACCACCGTGGACAACACATTCTAGGCCGCTGTGGAGCTACGTTGTCAGCCGAGGGCAGTGCAGCAAAATCATTGTTGTATTGTACATCGCTTCAACGTCTGCTTCCCGCCTTCAACTGGCACTGACCATGATTGGGAAGTACCGTGGGGAGGCCCTCATCCAGCAGTGGATTTACAGAAGGGCTGTGTGTGAACTTGCTAACCACATTTATGGAGTAATTTTTTTTAGCGTGCTATCTCCCTCTGCTGGATATGGGTGGAAAGGTTGCAAAGTAACTTTGTTTAACCAGGTGAGAGAGAGAGAGCTCAGGGGACCAGGGTAGTCTTTGATTTGTAGGAGTGATGTGGGGCATTCGTCTGCCAATATTGGGGGGGGGGTGCAATGATTGTTGTGTATGGTCCCAATTTAGTAATTTCTGCTATCATTTTCAAATTTGGCAAATTTGGACCCTGTTGCTGGCACACAATCGCCTACTCTTGCGAATGACTTTCGGCGGGGGGGAATCTTTAACGGCCACCGCGAGTGAAGCAGACGATGAGTAGTGGGGATCTTTACGGCCGTTTCTGCCAGCAGTAATAATAACCGCAAACTAAGCTACTTGGTGTGGGTTGCTGCGATAACCGTGTCCGTTTTTTACATAATTTTTTTATGGTTACCGTTGCTCCTTAAAAACATTTAAATAACAAAACAACTTTCATATATTCTATCTGGACATAAATAGCCTCTTTGGAAGATGTGTTCCGGAGTAACTGACGGCATAGCGATTATATGCGATCGTCATAATTGTCCTGATTATTTGCATATGTGTTTTTTGTGTACCGAACATCATATGCGTGCGTGATAAGCGCTCATAGATTGATAATTGGGAAGACTTTGCGGAAAGCTTGAGCAAACAAACAAGGTTATGGGAAAACTAATTTGGTGATAATGATGGCATCATCGTGAAACCATCGCAGCAACCCTACTTCTGGTGCACAACTGGTAATCCAAATGATAAAATCACCTTCGCTCACTTTTGTCTGCAGTGCCGGTTCATAACGACGCGTAGGCCGCCAACGTTTGTCGATCCACCGTGAAGCAGGTGTGTGCCGTATCACCCATCGTCATCGACCGTGATCAATCCGCCGCCGGACGAAGGTTCTCCACAAGCCCTCCGTCGTCATCCCCCTCATGGTCACGCGATGCGACAATCCACCCCAGCTCCTGCACCCGAGCCGATCTCATCGCTCCATCGCCGCGGTGGACGGCGTCTTGGGCGCCGTTCCCTCCTTTCACGCCCACCGGCCGTCATCCCTTCTAGCGACGCGTCCTGCTTCAAACCCGCTTACTAGTCTCGGCAGCCGAAATAATGTCTAACTTGTGTGTGTCCTCGAAGCCACATGTTCCTCCGCTTTGTCTCCCCGGCGTGATCACAAGCATCCATCTCCTGCGTTCCTCTTTGCGCACTTTGAGCTTTTTGTTTGGTCGTTTTCATCCGTGTCTCTGATCCCAATGTCGTCGCAGCAGGTTTCCGTAGACACGTTGTTGTGGTACGTTACTTTTCATCATGCAGTCGTTTTTCATTATCAACCCCCATTCTCCTCTGCCTCTCTGATCTCAATCCACCTCCAATAGCCTGCACTAGTACATACATATTCGGTGTTTTGCAGCTGTGCCCAACTGTCGAGACATCTCTGATCTTTTCAGTGAATTTGTACACGATTTTTTGGCTTATTTTTTTACAACCTTGCTGCCTTTTGCTTGTTCAGCACTTCTGACATTTCCTGTAGTTCATTCCTATCGGACATTGTGTTCATGGCTGTGTCGTCAACTAATCTTTTAAGACGGGTTAATGTTTTCTCCATTTTATGTCAGCAAATGTTCTCTCTTGTCTGATTTTCAGAAAGCATCTCTCCTAATGTCGCTGTGAATGACTGGTGGGAGCGCATTTCCTAGTCACACTCCCCTTTTGCATTTTAGTAGTTCACATGAAATTAGTGTGGCTGTTACCATATCTGTAAAAGGATTTTATTACTTCTAAATGTTTTAATATTAAGGCCTGGGTGTGCAAGAGGCTCGGATGACTTACGTCGATTTTACAAACGCTAGACAGTTGTATTTTAAAGTAATTAGCCTTTTTTTTTACAGATTATGATCGGCGGTGTGTATTCGTCGTTGATAGAGAAACCTTGCCTTGCCACCGACGTGTTTTGGTTTTTCCGCTAGTCTGTTTCGAGTCCTCTTTGTGAACGTTTTATACTCGTGCGATAGTAAGAGGATAATAGGTCTAGTTCTTAAATTAAAGTCTTATCTAACTTTTTTTAATAGAAGAATGATTGAAGCATCATTCCATGAATGAAGTATTTAATTTCTGTGTAAACGATCGATATAGTTTAGCTATTTTTTTTATTTTGTTGCCGTTTCAGATTATATACGTATACCGTATACACAATACTGCTGTAAATGTATTATCTTTACGATAATATACAGTACGTGTGTTTACCCAGTAAAGCCTCACGAAAGATTTTGCCGCGTTTTTGATGCTTGTTTAAAAAAAGTGTCAGCCTTGTGTGTATGATTAATCGTTGGTTTCCATTGGGTCCGATCGTGCAGTAATAATGTCAATGTATTATTTAACTATAACCCTCCACCACCCGGTAGCCAATCAAAACCATACGTCACGTGGGCTGATTTGTCCCCCCCACCCCCGCGGCTACTCAAACGTGAACTCCGGCTAGTGGGCGGCCGAGCTGCTCGGCCTGCGGCCTCGATCCGCTGCGAGCGGCCGGCCCAGCTGTGCTCGGAGGAAGAGCAATCGGCTCGCGAGCGAAAGGGCGAACCCAAGGGGGATCGGCAACCAACAGTAACGAGAAGCAGACACTTCTTTTTGGTTCGGATTCGGTACAGAGCTCGATGTTTCAAGAGCCGCAGTGCACGTGAACACACGGGGGGCATGCGCTACGTCACGAGGGAGACGTAAGAGAGCCGCAGGTCGCCGACCCCCTGAGCTACAGCCGCTCGCAATCGAAACGTCGCACATTCTTCCCCCATTGACTATCGACTCAGCCCATCATCCCTTTCCGGAGTGTCGTAAAATGAGTATCGATTCGTGAGGAAGTTAAAAACGGTGGTTTTTGGATATACATGCCTCCCGCCATAGGATGAGAAACGTGGAATTTCCACCACTGGCTCAGGGCTGTAAAACGGGTGGTGAGCACCGCCTAAAAGCGCTTCATCACTCATCGGATTCCTCCAGGATAAATAAATATTCTGATTCTGAAATGCTCGTTGATAGCTTGAAATCTCTTAAACTTTTTCCCCCACTCTGTAGAGCCTGAAATGTCTGCGGTTTTTTATATATTTATAATACTCGTGTTCTTTAACGCCGAGTCTCAAGACTTATTTTCAGGAGGCTCCTGCATTGGGATGTTTTTTGTAAGAGAATTGAAATCGGTCCGTGTGACCGTTTAAGGCTTTGACAGTTACGCGACGCGTCCCGCCGGGATACCTATCAAACGTGCGGGTACAAAACCTGTACACTGTCGATTTGATTCTGAAGTTACCAGCGGTTGATGTGCTCCACCGTGTATAAGAGGCATATCCAGTGAATAGGCCGATCATTCGGCCCTCTGCTCATGAGGAGGCCCGTTGCCTTTGAAACATCAGCCGATGTATACAGGGCGATCCATTGAACACGCAGGCTTTCACGACCAATATTCATAGGTTAAATTACTGGCGAAACCCAGATTGTAAATGTTGTGACGAATTGGCACGTTCTGTTTACGTGACAACCCTTACTAGTTGGCTGTGTCGGGTGGTGACGGGTTTAACGACACATTTACGCGATCTAACCCAAAAAACCTCTTATAGGGCGATCCATGTATGAATATCGGCACTTGTGTTCCTAATGAGATCCTGGTCTCGTGCGGTCGTGGTCGGTCGCAGGAGACGTCTGTAGGTTGGATTTGCCGAGGCGTAGCAATTGTGTTACCTGACATGTAGCCAATTTATGAAGCCACTGACACAACCCCGCCATGCCTCGGGTGTCTTTGGAAGCAACGGAGGCGGCTGAAGCCTGAGCTGAGCCCCAGCCGGGCGAGATGCCGAGCCGTGCCAATATGTTGGAACTCCTTTCGCACGCCCCACGTTAGCCGACCGTGCTCGTCGGAGCTGCGCGAGAGCCGGAGCTTGAGACTACTTTCCCTGAAATGTTGGAAGCTAATCGCCCTGGCGACTGTTCGACAGAGCTGGCCAGGCGTGTGTTTTAAAAACGATTGGATAAAGTGACTCGAGTCGAGATTGGCGTGGAGGCTTTTGAAATGAGACGTTTTATCCAGATTCCTCTCTTGTACTTGAGTGGGCTATCTGAGGAATGGATCGTCCTCTACATTGGTGGTGGAGCGAATGGTTTGTGGTGATGTTACCCCCCTCTGTTCCTGCCCTCCCCATGACCCCCCCGACCCCCCCCCCCCTCTGTCCCCCTGTCCCCCCCCACCCCTCTCCCCCCCCCGTGCCCCCCTGTCCCCTCCCCTTCTGTCCCCCTGTCCCCCCCCCCTTGTCTTGACCCTGGTCCCCCCACTCGTCCCCCTCGGTGTCTGGGACGTCCCCAGGTACCCACAGTGCCACGCGATACAGGAATTTGCGTTTTTTACTTTGGAACGGTTTATTTTGTATTTGTAAAAAAAAACGTCCGTTTTGGAAATGTATTCAATAAAGAATAATATTTTAACGTGTTTGCGTACGTTAATCTTTGTGTACGTAAATGTATATTTAAATGTAATCGGGACAGATCGTCAGCCGCATCGTGCTGGGGCGTGGCTTGGGGTTTCCTGCCTTCATGAGACAGGATGTCGTGGGAGATCGTCACTTTCAAAGGGGTCTTTCGAATCAACCACATAAGAAGGTAGTTGATTCCCAGTTTGGGGAGATTGCTAGATTTGTACGACATCATCCGAGGATGATGAGTTGGTTTTCTCACGTGAAACACTCAATGGGGGGTTTAAAGTCGAACTGGTCTATTAACTTCGCGTGGCAGAGGATCGTCGTCGTCGGCCACGTTCTATCCACTGCTGAATGAAGTCCGTCTCAAGCTGTTGCCATCGCACGGTGTTGCGTGCAAAAAAAATAATCTGTCCGGCTCCTGCACACGAGTCGATGTCATCGCTCTGGTAAATCCGTCTCCACGCTAGGCCGCCCTCCCTGGGTGTGGGTGATGGACCACCTCTTCCGACAAGTCCGATCGGTGCGGAAGAGCAGACCAAATACACTTAGGAGAACCTCCTGACAGCGACGGTGTGAGCAGGCAATTTCAGGGCTGCGCCTTTGTACCCCTCGTCCCTTTACGTTAACCCGTAGGCCTGCGGCCCCACGTGGGAATGTACACGTGAGGGTCCCACGTCTACATTTGCGCGTGCCAATGAGTGAATTCCGTTTCCTGTATTTCCAGAACCGGTAACCGACTTTGCAAACGGTTACCGGTTTCCTGGGTGCCGTTTTTAACAACGCTCGTGAGGGTTTGTCAGGAGGGTGCCACATTCGCGAGCGGAGTCTGAACGCTCGCTCGCTCGCAACTCGCTCTTCGGAGTCCAGTCCATCGCGGAACGCCTCCGATCACACACTTGCTAAGCCCTTGGGTGTAACACCACCACCAACAACAACAACGCTGTTCTAAGTCTGTAGCGTAACTGGCTCGGGACTCGATGATGGCTCCTCAAGGTCTGCGGCCGCTCACTGGCTCCGGCTCTCCGGGTGCCAGAGGCACCGACGGCCGCTCCGGTCGTTCCGCCAGCACCGGATCGGCCGCTGCCGTTCGCCGCGACCGCACGATACCCTGGCAGCGTGTGGCCAATTCAGCTCGTGAGAGTTTCGTGTTGGAGGAGTTCCACTGACGCACGCGAGGGGATAACTCTGCGGTGGTGGCTCGGCTGGAGACCTTCGGGAGCCATCGGCTGCACGTGGCCTGTAAATCCCGCGCTGTGGAAGCCGCAGTGAGGGTCGGTGGATCACCGCACAGATGTTGAGAAACTTCCCGTGGGCGCCGAGGATGAAGCAGTACCCCGGCTCGCCAGGAGAAGGCGGTACAGCAAGCGTGGATTAATCGCCATCTCTTTCCATCTGTACGGGGATATAGCGTTGCACCCTCGCGCAAGACACGACTCATTAATTGGCTGAAAACACCTGAATAGAACTGTGGGCACCACGGTGGTGAGATGTTAACTACCTCGATTGGTATGCAGGAGGTCGTGGACTCGATTCCGACCCTGACGCCTGTAAATGTGGAGTTTGCATGTCTCCGTGGTCGCGTGCATTTTTCTCCGTGTCCTACGGTTTTTTCTCTCTACAATTAGAATCAACATCACGCGTTCAGAGCGTTGAGCTGCTATAAATTTCCACACGGAGATGAGCCACTTCTTTGAGCTATCACTTGTGGTGGCCAGGTCGCTTCTGAAAAAGAGATACGGAGTTCAGTGGGGCCTTACCTGGTAAAATAAAATAAAAAACACTTTTGTTCCGCCCATCCAAGCACTATCCAGGCTCAAACCCTGCTTAGCTTGCGATATCTGATGAAATGAAAACATTGTGTAGTTTTCGTTTAGTGTCACGCAAGACCCTCCTGCAATGAGTCATTGGACTCGGTGCAGCTTCCTGGATAATAAATAAGTAGTTATAATAAGGAAGTGGTTATTTATTATTAAAGCACCGCAGTTGTGTCTATGCCTATACCCCCTACATACAATAGTCAGTTGTATCTGCTGTTGTATCTACTGACTCTATTGTACGATACTATTGTATGTCGGTGTGTACATCTTATACGCCTGCAAAATACATTCCTTTTTGGGGGAGGTCGACAATTTGTGAACACTGTTGGATCAACTTTCTACCCCCACATTTGGAGGGGGTCCACTCTCTCTACACGTTGTTGATTCAGGCCGTCTGAAAGGTTCTCTTGTAATTCACTTGACGGACAAACGGAAATTCCGCCCGGCTTTTATAATAATTGATGCTTTTGTAATGCTGTAAATCGCACCTCATGTTTTCTTCTGTAACGTGCAGCCCCCTTATTTTTTTGGTATTAATCCACTGCTGGATCAGGGCCACCCCACGCTGTGCTTGGCCGTGGTGGTTACATGACCATACTTCACCACGCTGGGTCCGTGAAGGCAAGGCAGCAGAGCTGCCCTCGATGCATCCGCACAGCCGCCTTTGCCGTTACAACTCATGCTGATGATGATGGTGCTGTTATAGCTGCTACTGTTATAGCTGCTGCCGATGATGCTGCTGATGATCCTGCTCTTACAACTGATGCTGATGATGATGCTGCTGTTGATGATGCTGTTGATGATGGTGCTGTTATATCTGCGACTGTTATAGCTGCTGCCGATGATGCTGCTGATGATCCTGCTCTTACAACTGATGCTGATGATGATGATGCTGTTGATGATGATGATGATGCTGTTGATGGTGCTGTTGATGATGGTGCTGTTATAGCTGCTGCTGTTATAGCTGCTGCCGATGATGCTGCTG